ATAATCCACTCTGCAACCCTCATTGCGTACTCCTACGATAAACATAATGCCTTAAAATATAATACTTTTAAACATACATCGCTTTTAAATCATTCTCTCCCTCATCTGTTTCAGTGCAGTATACACAATTTATCCAGTTTTTCTCAGTCTTACCCCAACCCTAATATCAGTCCCATTTTACAGCAGTGGCACCATGCAGTATTTGTCCTTTTGCGACTGAGATATTTCACTCAGCATAATGTCCTCCTACTTTTCTTTTTTAAAAAATAAATGAAGTGGGCAACAAAGGTCTTGAGAATCTGATCCATCATTCTCTTCCTAGCTTAACTCAGAGGTCTTATAATCAATTACTCCTAATTAAGATACAGACCCAGGGGCCTCTAAAGACAAACCTGAACTCACTGGTAGTCTTTGAACAACAGTCAGTGCTCTGCCTGGAGCCAGAAATACCCACCTTGGCTTTACAAGCAGTGATGGGGCAGGGCAAGCCAGGGTGGCAGGGAGCCATACACGGATGGCCACAGTCAGCCCTGGGGAGGGTACAGGGCTGCTTGCACGCCTCATCACCAGCACACTCTCCTTTGTGACAGAGTCTCTGACACCGGTGCATCCCACATGGCAGCATCACACCACAGGGCAATCCACAAGAGATATCAACCAGGTGGCAGGGGATGTTGCTTCGTAGCTGAGGAAGACACAAGTAGCCAGATGCTCATTTGTAGGATTTGGGGTAAGCTTTACATATTTTGTACAGTTATGAATTTAAGATTTTTCTTTTTTTATCTTCAGAACCTCTGTTATAATGAAAAAGGAGGAAGTTCCTTTTACTAAGGATAAACAATAAAATAGACTTAAACAATCCGTGGCAGTAGCAGGCAAGTGTGATCTAGAAAAGAAACTTTCCTCTGTGAGAAACACAGACATGAATCCAGAGAACCAGGAAGTATGTAAACATGCTATGACCCGGGGGTGGTGGTGGTGGTGGTGTGTGGGGTGGTGGTGGTGGTGGTGTGTGTGGAACAGACGACAAGGCCATTGTTCATCTTGGTTCTATAATGCTGACGAACTGAGCTGACAGTGAACGACACAGAGATGAGCACACTGGCCCAGAGTTTTGAAACTTTTTACTAGTTATCTTTCTACTTTTTTAAAAAATTGTGATTTTAACAATACAGAAAAGTAGGATTTTCATTCCTTTATTGTTGACATTGTTTTGTATAATTAAATATTCAACTCTTCTCAAAGCTCCCAACTCATGGCGCCCATGGCTTGTTACTAAGGCAGCCATCCACAATAATTTTAAAAAATAAGTATCAAGTCATGCAATTCCCTCTCTTGTTACTTTTTGTCTGTTTCCCTTGAGAAATCTCCTTTAATTCTAGGCAATCTCTCTTCCAGGCTTCTGGAGGTGACTCCCTACTCCAGGGAAAAGATGCCTGAATTTTATTAATATGGGACCAACAGTGGTCGTTTCCACTGTTCATTCAAATTGTTTGATGAATTCTCAAATGAAGAATAAACTCCTGTTCCAGTGGCATGTAACTTCTACCTCTGAAGAAGTCCCCAAAGCCTAGGGCATATTTCCGATCACATCAGATCAGTATTTGGCAGACTGAATCAATCAATTATGAAATACTGACTGCCTCTGGGGACAGTGTCCCTTTGCTGTCCTCTGCAAATGACTTGCCTTCCTTTGCATTATCTGTCAGGTTGTGACTTCCCTCAGGATGCCTTCTCTGGCTAGGGGCCCTTTCTCCATCCCTCGTAACACTCTGTACTTCCCACATGCTCGGACTCCACTATCTGTTTACATTCTAACTCTTCGAGTACAGTGAGAGCTCCTTAAGTGCAGGACCATCCTGGTGGTGTTAATTTTGACCATGAAGACTATGGCTTGGTACTTACCACACGGGATGTATTCAAGGAATTATCTGTGGAATGAAGTCTAAATTAGTCCATCAACACAAAGATGATACACAGACGGCTTAGAATGGATGAACTCTCAAAGGAAGTTAAGATTCATAAAGGACAAATACCAAGGGCTATAACGTGAGAACCACTCACAGCAAGTAAGTGAAGAAAAACTTGTTTATCAAGATAAAAAGGAATGGTAAAAGTATGTGGTAAAAAACGTCAAAGAGTTTTGAGAAATGTTAGCCAGTATGTTGGGAAATGACAAGAACAAGCTACACAGCAGTATCATCACAGGGAAGTGTGTGTATGCAACACATGCTGAATGGTCTACACACCAGAATGTTAACAGTGCTTCTTTCTGGACAGCTGAATGGTCTTTCCTCAACTGTCTACAATGAATATGCATGTCTTAAAATAAAAATGGCTAAGTGTTTCAAAGCATCTATAGCTGACAGGGCCAAACAGGCTCTTAGGTCAAGAATGAGGGTCCTGGCAAAGCAGAGGTTTGAGTGAACCCAGCAGCCAGAATGGGAAAATGCTGAATGTGTACAGAACTGCAGCAGCTGGTGCACTGACGTCTCTACTCTTCGCATGCTCCTGCCTCTCCCCAGATTAGCATGCTCTCCGTAGGCTGGTTAAGTTGAAAGTTGTCTCTGAACACAGTCCGTTTTTGTGGTCCTGTCTGAATTTCATTTCATTGTAATCAGATTAAAAATTATGGCAGAACAGATCTGAAATTCCATGTAGTCTATATGACATTTTGGAAAAAGCAAAGCTTAGGGGACAGACAATACATCCAGTGACTGGAGGCAGATGGAAAGAACAATTTAGAGGAACACAAAGGAATAAATGGGGTAACCAAACTATTCTACGTCTTGAATGGTGCTGTTTACATGACTGTATGCATGTCTTTGTCAAAACTTGCACATCTATACACTAGAAAGGGTACATTTTATCACATGCCAATTACAACTTAATTTTTTTAAGTGGGAAGAAACTGGCAGCAGTAAGACTCTTCAGTTTGGGCTGTTTAAAAAACAATGGATTATTAACTCTTAATAATAAATTTACCATTATAATGAAACATGCGAGAGAAAACATACCTCGTGCTTGCCCATGCACCATTTCTGAGTCAGGAAAGTACAAGGGGGGCACTTCTCCTCACTGTGACAAGAATGGTAGACTGCAGAAAGAGAAAGAGGGTATTAGGAAGAGATCACAAAGAAAGGCACATGCATTTTCATATAGGTCATAAGGAGCTTTTTCATATAGGAGGTGGTGATTCTTATGAAAAATGGTCCCAAGAAAGTGAAAATGTAGCTGGCTTGATAGTAAAAATACATTATTAAGTGAAAAAAGGGTTAACATCAATACACTCAATAGCATACTACTTTTAGGGAGGAAAAATGCTCACTTATACATATACATACATATATACAGAAAAATATCCTGGCTATCACGTGAACACTGACAATGTGAATCCTATAGAAAAGTATAACAGATAATTTCATTTCAATCTTTTGGATTGATTTCCCTCCCCCTTTCTTTCTTTATAATAAGCATCTATTGCCTTTGTAGCAAAAACAGCAAGTTATTACTGGGATTTCCACCCTTTTGGGATTGCTAGTGACCCAACGCATAGAGCAATGAAGGGTCCAGAGAGGCAATGCTCAGACCACAATGACAGGCAGCCTCGCAGAGGAGCAGGTCAGCATCTGCAGCATGACCGAAGCCCAGTGGAAGTGGTTGTGCAGCCCCAGCCTCAGGGACGCAGCGTGAGCAGTGTGTGGGCAGCGGGGCCAAGGTGATGGCACTCACCTGGATGGTCACATTCATGGACCCTGGCACAAGTCTGGGTGCACTCAGGGGGACGAGTACCACAGGGGACTGGTGGGTAGATGACAGACGCTCCACAGTGGCAAGTTAGTTCATCAAAGCCTAGTGAAGTGGCAGGTGAAACAAAACAATCCTTCATGAGTTGGGATGTGTGTGTGCATATATGGAAACATTTACATACACAGGTCAGTGACTGTATTTCTAGAGGAGACTCTTTAGTGGAGTTGCTCAGAGAAGGGAAAAAAGGATTTTAAATTTATTATTTAATTACACTGAGCTGGTGACAAAGGAGTAAATGGAACTGTTCCATTTACCCTTGCAACAAACTCTAGGTTCACGAGGAACCCAACCCATTTCTACTTGTATTTATAAGCATCAAGTCTACAGACCATCTCATTATGAGAGAACAAGTGGCTTCTTTTTAAAACTCCTTTGGGGAAGAAAATGGGTGGAGGTTATGATAACTACAAGTAAATAACAAACATACGAAAATATACAATTGAATATAAACCTCACAGAGTCACTGGAGCCATTCAAACAAACTCTTACAGACATAGGCAAAATGCACTCTATAAAATATGAAGCTGAATTGAAGCACAGAGCTAATATGTGAGTTCATGTGTAGTAGTTCACAGGCTGAATCAACACTGGGGCTCATGTGGGACAACTCTAATAGACAGACATACTGTCAAGTGCTCTCCAAACTCTTAGACTGCATGGGGAACCAGTTCTCAAGCTCTGGGTTTTGGTAGCAGTCAGGCTTTCAATTTGCCTAATTCTCAACTAAGGCAGCAAAGTAGGGAAGCCCAGGCTCCCTAACTTTCTCCACCCACTGATCTCCTCCAAAATCTGCTTAGTGCCCGCAAGTCAGTTCTGACTCACAGTAACCCTCCTTTGGGTTTCCAGTGGAAATTGTGGCAGGAGGAGATTGTCCATTTTTCTAAACTTAGAGGAGCTGGTAGATTTGAACTAACAGAGACTCAACGCTTTGGTGAGCAGTGCAACTTCCTGCAGACTACGTCACGAGAGTTCCCACTCTACCAGTACTCCCCAGCAAACTCTGCAGTGGCTATATGATTCTTTGAAAAGAATGCTGTGAATATGGTTGAGAGACTTAAACATTTAGACCTGGATCCACTATTATTCTGCTCTTTAACTATAGGCAGGTAATTACAACTGTCTTTCTTTCTGTCAAATTGGGACACCAAACCTGACAAGCTTCCTGTGAGGATGAGCTAAAAAATGTGGTAAAAGCAAGGTAGAGGGGAAGGGGCTGCTGTGTAAGTTCTTGTCACTAATGGAACTCTGTATGTGTGATTCACTGACATGACTTTTTTCTGAAATAAGGCAGCCTCACATTCTAGAGAAGATATTTTGGAAAACCTAGACCCAAGGCAATCTTTTAATGCAATAATTGTCAAAAGTGTTTTGTGACGCCTTAAGGGATCACAGAAGAAAGTATATAACCATATAAGGTTAAAATTATTTTCACAGTACTGTAATACTTCTTACTGCGTACTGTTGAGTTAGAATCCACCCATAACTAACTCTCCACAGGGTTTTCTGAGAAAGCAAATTGCAAATGAGACTGCCCATTTTTCCCCATGGAGCAACAAGTGGATTCAAACCATGTACCTTTGTGTCGGCAGTGCAATTCCTTACTATTAAACCACCAGAGCTCCCTAATACTTAGATGATATTAAATTACTTTGATAATGGTGCTCTGTCTCTTTCATTGTTTTTGAGTCAGAAATGACTCAGTGGTTTCTTTTCTTCTGGGTTCCTGAGGCTGTAAATCACACAGGAAGAGATTATCCATCTTTCCCTCTTAGGGCCACTGGAGGATTCAAACCACCAAAGAGGCCCAGCACAAATCCCTATGGACTATAGTGAAGAATCCCTATAGTGAAGCTAGCGCTTCATTATAATAGTACTAAGACACTATTTGCCTTCTTTTCTATGTTGACATTTGCAGTAATCATGCAAAAATCAATGGCTTTTAAAGCTGTTTAGGCCTAAGCCAGATCCCAAACTGTAATCATTGCCATATACATTAACAAATAAAAAAGTTTTAGTAAGAAAGCATTTTGAGGATGCTGGAGAAAAAAGAAAACCAAAACAACAAATTCTGAGTAATATGCAATGGAATGAAAAGGGAAATATACATAAAGTGCTCCTGCTACATACTAAAATAATTCAATTGTTTTTATGAACTGTATTTGTGTGAATCTTCGAATTAGGAGCTCAATTCACTTATTTTTTCCCCTGAAATATGATATATTTGAGAAAATAATTGGCAGATGATCTACGATTTTTCAGACTTGGGTATCTAGCTGTAAGTTAGTGATCTAATGACATATGGAGAATTAGCTTGGTTGCTATAGTTAAGTTTTCATCTGAAGACAGAATCCTGGAAAACATGTGCTCATCACTATACACCTTGAAAAAAATAATTTTCTAGTAGGATTATCCATTTATATCAATGGGTGTGAATTTTTAATAGTTGTATAATGTAACACGTATCAACACATTTGGAAAGTCTAGCTTAAACAATTATTCCGAAACATTTGGAAAATCTAAGCCTTAAACAATTCTTTTCCAAAAGGCTAACGCATGATGTTACAAAATCATGGAAGGGGATAAGAACTGTTCAAAGTGCAAAAAACACTAATGAATTTTAATGCACAGAGAACAAAAACATAATACTGACTTGTTTCCTTTCTGAACTGAAGCTGTGCTTTGTGCAAAGAATATTCTTAACTGTGAAAAGGTTTTTAAAATATCCCTTTATTTTCCAATTAGCTACCTGTGTGAGGTGAGATTTCTTTTCCTATATACCAAGTATATTACAACAGATTAAACACAGAAGCAGGTATAAGAATCCAGCTATCTTCTATTAAACCAGACATTCATTCTTCTAATTTTTCTTTAATTTGGAAAACAGGTTTTAAAATACTTTTAAATGCTCACATTAAACAGGTACATTACTATTTGAATATTGGTATTTTACTTTTTCTTAGTTTTAATTTCTAATATACTAAGCACAGAGACATATGACTCACTTAAAACAGTTCTCTTGAGTTCTCAATAATTTTTTTAAAAATTTTATTATTTTTGTGTGTGTGTACCGTCAAATCGGATCTGACTGGTACAAAAGGGAGTTCTCAATAATTTTTAATAATGTAAATGAGTCCTAAAAGTTTGCTACTTTAACAGAAGCAAACAAAACCAAGGTCAATAATATTCAAGAGGCAAATAGACAAGGAATCCATTAATGAACAATTTCAAGACTATTATTGTTCACATTCTAAGTCTTGTACATTCAGGAACAACACAATACTCGGTAGACTTTGTCTTAACACAGTTGAAATACTAAGGCTTAGTTCAGCAAACAAAGGAACCTGGCTGCCTAATAGTTAAGTCCTTGGCTGCTAAATAAGATTAGTGGTTCAAATCCACCCAAGAGCTTCTCACGAGGACTTACTGATTTGCTCCTGTAAAGCTTGCACCTCGATAGGACAGTTCTACTCTGTCACATGTGGTCATTGCTGAAACCAACTTGATGGCACCTTACAGTGACAGCTTAGTAATCCATAACAATCTGAGAAAAGCATCCTCTCAAAATCATCTCAAATTCTTAAAAATTCGTAATATATAGTGAAGTCACTCACTGGTTTGCCAGCATGTTTGGCAATTTCCACGATGACAAGGTTCCTCACACCTATGAAGGCCACAACGGAGTTTTCTCCCACAGATCAAAGGACACTTGTGCTCCTTATCCTGGGAAGAGAGATTTACATATAGAATGGTCTCCACTTTATATTTTCCTTAAGCAGGAAGATTCCTTAAAAGGAAGTTCTCCATATTTATAGAAATGATACCTGGTCTTAGCTTCAAAAGACTCAGAGCACAAGCAACAAATGGTGGTGAGGTTGTGGAGAAACTGGAACCCTGATTCACTGTTGGTGGGAGTGTAAAATGGTGCAACCCCTGTGGAAAGCAGTATGGCGCTTTCTCAAAAAGTTGCAAATAGAGATACCATTTGACCCAGCAATTCCATTACTGGGAATATACCCTGAAGAGACCATAGCTGACATCCAAGCAGATATATGCACACCCATGTTTACTGCAGCTTTGTTCACAATAGCAAGGAGTTGGAAACAACCTAAGTGCCCATCAACAAATGAATGGCTAGAGAAGCTGTGGTATATTCGCACAATGGAATACTATGCTGCATTAAAAAATAAGGCACTCATGCAATATTATTCAAAATGGTTGACTCTGGAGAACATTATGCTGAGTGAAATATCCCGGTCACAAAAGGACAAATATTACATGATGCCACTGTTGTAGAATGGGACTGTCCTTGGGGTTGGGGAGAGACCGAGTAAGAAGGGTTCAATAATGTATACTGCACTGAAACAGAGGAGGGAGAAAACTGTTTAAAAGAGATATATAACTAGGTATTTCTGTCATCACAGGAGACTAGAGCGAGGGCTACATGGTGGAGGGGACCTGGGGGAGGGTTTGTAAAACAATGAAAGAATCTTTTCTTTTACTTTTCCATAATTTTTGACTCATGTACTTATAACTTGTTAGTCAAATTTGTGTCTTCTAGGTTGCAACACCCCCATGATACATCTTCAATGATATGAACATGTACGGCCAAGCACAATCAATAAGAGTGCATCTAAATTCCAAAATCAATCTCCGTAATAGTCTATGTGTTTCCTACTGCCAAAGGGGCCCTTTAGAGTAGTGAGAGAAGATCTTCACCCTGAAACCCACAGCGTCCCTTTTCAGCAGGAAGTAGCTAAGAGAATACGCCATCCCCTTTCCCTTATGACTCAGGGTGAAGTCTCTCTCAGGGAGGAGTGATAGGGAATGGCAAAGGACACACTGACAAAGAAGATTAATCAGAACTGGCTTTGACAAGCACTGTGGCATTTGGACAAGAACAAACTGGGAGGAGGGTAGAAAGAATAGTGCAACAATGAATGAATGGAAACCCAAAATCTCTGTAAATGTTTATGAAAATTAATAAAATATAATTATAGAAAAAAAAAAGACTCAGAGCAGGGCCCTGGAGGGAATTATAGATGAAAATCACTATAGGGGACTTATACCATACTCTCTGTTTTTTAATTTATTTGAAATTTTTTATGAAGCATAAAAAGAAAAAAGAAACTCATAAACTAAATTCCCTACTTTGTTAAATCATTGAAAAGAAACGAGGAACATTTCAAATCCTAAAAAAAAAAAAAAAAAATTCAACCAAAAACAAAGTGAGGGAAGTCTTTAAGTCTTAAAATACTGATTTATAAGCGTTGATTTCCAGCATAGTTTCATCATTATCTTTGTCAATATATAAACTTTCAAGTAACAGTAATTATGTATCTGTGCACATATATAAACATCAAGGCAACAGCAAGTAACTGAAACTTTTCAAATATTTTTCAGGTAACTGAAACATGTTGGGATGGCACAAAATCCGCTGCAGAGGACCTGTGGTATTGGCCTCTGAGGCCTAGGTCTCCTATCTCTGCATCTTCTTCCATTTTGTCACTGAATCAACTTCAGTTGACTTCACCATCTCCTTAAGGTCTACAAAGGGCTCAACCTCTTTCTGAGAGGGTGTGGGGACCATTTTAGCTCTAGGACTAACATTCCAGAGCCCCTCCCAATGATTTCTAAATCTGTTTCACATTCCAGAATGCCGAGGCTTCCAGAAGCCCAGCCCTGAATGCATGGGATCTTTTCGTGCCTAGTGGGCCCACTTACCACACAGCATATCTCGTTACATTTATGCCGTCCACACAACCGTTTCTTGTTACACCTCTTGTCACACATGAATGTAGCATCTGCCGCAGCCAATTAAAAACAAAAAAGAAACAGGCAAAGGATATGTACATTCATTCAAGAAATATCTGAGTCACCACATGCTTTAGAAATACAAATGTAGTAATGTAAATAAATTAGTGATGGCAAAAAAGGTATATTAAAATCTTTTTTACCTGTCAGATTGTCAAAAAAGTAGAAAAAAAACACTGATTAGTATCTATAAGCAGAAATATAGTGGGGAAAAGTGCATTCATACGTGGTGGATAGGAATAGACTTTGCGAGGACATCAATACCTGTCAATATTTTAAGTGGTAATTCTATTTTAAAGATTTTCATTATAGATCTACTTTGAAAAATGGGCTAAAATAGCAAAAGCACATGCAACAAAAGAAAAAGAAAACTCAAACAAACCATTCTGAAAAATGGGAAAAGGACTTGAATAGACAATATTCCAAATATATAAAACTGGCCAATATGTACATGAAAATATACTCAACATCTTTAGTTACCAGGGAAATACAAATGAAAACTCTGAGGTACCACTTCATACCCACTGCAATGGTGATATTTGAAAAGAACAGAAAATAACAACTGTTGGTGAAAATGTGCAGAGATTAGAACCTGTGTAAAGTGCTAAGAGGAATAAAAAATGGTGCAGCTACTTTAAGAAAGTTTAGCAGTTCCTCAAAAAGATCAACAGAAACCTACAACCGGAGAGGATAAAATAGATGAATGGGACCTTCTAATAATAAAATCCCTTTGCACATCCAAAAACTTCTTCAACAGGGTAAAAAGGAAAGCCACAGACTGGGGGGGAATATTTGACAATGACATGTCTGATAAGGGACTTATATCTAGAATTTATAGAATACTTGATCACCACAAGATGAAGGTAAACAATCTAACTGAAAAATGAGCACAGGATATGAACAGACACTTCACACCAAAGAAGACATTCAGATGACACACAAACACATGAAGAAATGTTCAAAATCCCCAGCTCTAAGAGAGATGCAAATCAAAACAACTATGAGATATCATCTCACCCCAGTAAAAATAGCAAAATTCAACAAAGTAGCAAAGAGCAAATGCTGGCGAAGTTGTGGAGGAACTGGAATCCTTAATTCAATGTTAGTGGGTGTGTAAAATGGTGCAACTACTGCGGAAGGTAGTATGGCCCTTTCTCAAAAAGCTGGAAATAGACATATCATCTGACCCAGCAATTTTACTACTGGGAATATATCCTAAAGATACCAGAACTGCCATCCAAGCAAATATATGCACACCCATATATATTTGTTGCTTCATTCACAATAGCAAAGAGCTGGAAATAACCCAAGTGCCCATCAACAAACTAATGGATAGAGAAGCTGTGGTATATTCACACAATGGAATACTATGCTGCACTGAAAAACAAAGAATTCATGAAATATTATACAAAATGTGTGACCCCGGAGGACATTATGCTGAGTGAAATGTCTTAGTCACAAAAGGACAAATACTGCATGGTGCCACTGTTGTAATGTGAGACTGACATCAGGGTTGGAGGTGGAACCTAAGAAAAGGGGATAAATAATGTATACTGCATTGGAATAGATGAGGGAGAGAACTGTTTAAAAGGAATATACGATTAGGTGTTATTTTTATGACAAGATTACAGAACAAGAAATGCATAGTAAAGTGGACTATGGACTTGGGGGGATTGTGTAACAGTGAATGTTCAGAGAGAAAAACTAACTAGGGGGAGGGGTGGGCAGGGAGGAAAATGTACAACACTGAATGAATGGGGGAAAAATTAAATGGAAAGAACATGCTGTAAAAAATATATATATGTTGCATTAAAAAATCATTAATAAAAAAATAAGCCTAAAAAAAGGTCAACAGAGAATTACCATATGACTTAGCAATTTTACTCCTAAAATATACCCAAAAGTTTTGAAAAATGATATTTAAACAAAATCTGTACACAAGTGTTCAGATCTATACTATTTACAACAGCCAAAAGATAGATACAACTTAAATGGCTATCAACTGATGAATGGATAAGAAAAGGTGGTATATACATAGAATGAGATGTTATTGTACCATAAAAAGAACTGATTTAATTTATAGCATGGATCAATCTTGAAAGTGTTGACTAGAAGTCAGACACAAGAGGCAGGGTTCCATTTATATAAAATTCCAAAAATATGTACATCAACAGAGACAAAGTAGACTAGTGGTTTCCAGGGACTACAGGGAAGTAGGAATGGGGAGTTATTGCCAAAGAGACGTGAGTTTTCCTTTTGGATGATAAAAATATTTTGGAGCTAGACAGAATAACTTTACCACAATGTGGTTAACAAGAAAAACTGTGGGCTAGATATTTAAATGAATACAATTATGTCTAGAATTTGCTGTCAAGTACTTTAGAGGGAAAAAAAAGGGATGGATAAAATAATGTAGATGAAATGTTGATAATTACTGACAAGGAATGATTGGTACATGAGGGTTCATTAAACCAATATATCTTTTTTCATAAATTATTGAAATAGTCCATCATAAAATCTTTTTAAAAAGTGGTCACTGCATTACTTGTAATGGAAAAAGCAAATAACAACCTATGGTATGAACCACTATCAGGGCAGAGGTAACCTATGCCATGCACAGCCACATGACAGCACACTCTCTAAGAGGGAAGGCTATACATATTGATAGGTCAAATGCTCTTGCTATACTGTTATTTTTAAGAAATTGCTATATTACTGGAAGAAGGATCAAGTTGTAAACAATATGCTTAATGCAAACCTAACTTTAGGAGAAAAATTGTCCTAGCATATCTAATGTTATCTGTATGAATACAGAAAAGATCTGGAACCATACCCAATAAACTATGGACAGAGAGTTCTTCAGAGAAGTGGAACTAGGAGGGAATAAAAATGGGGTGAGGGTACATGTTTATTTTAGGTATATATTCTTTATTTCAAAAGTATATGCCTTTATAGTTGCAAATTGTTTTTAATAACAAAATTTTTTTTATGTGGTTTTGAGGCAAATCCTTGCTGGCTGCCTCCTGCAGTATAACAGACCTTAACTCAGAAAGCGGGCATCCACGTGCGAGCTCAGTTCTGGGGGTGGAGAGGGGAGTGCTGACTTGTTCAGCCCATCACAGTAATTTCATTTCCCTTACTAGTGACTAGTTTAGGCAAGAGTGATACAAAATGTACTGAGTGATGGCTTTTCAGAAATGTCCTTCCTCTTAGAAATGAAAGACTTTCTCCTACTTTCCTTTAGATGTTGCTGGGTGAAGACAACAAATGAAATGTTATTCTGAAGTTACCGAAGCCAAATGAACTAGAACTCTGGAATTATGAAGCTTAGAATTTGCCAACTTGCCTTGATCATCCCTTATTGCAGAAGTAATTTTCCTTAGGTTATCTATTATCTGCAGTGGGTAGAATACACACCAATACAGCTTCTTTTCTAATCAGAATAAAAGTTCTTATTTTATACACATTCATTCTCTATCACATTTACAAAGAGGTTTCAATGTGACATGAACAAAAGCCTATGTGATAGTTATGAAAACAGCAATAGACCAAGACTAGAGTGAGAAGTCAGGCTCAAGGACAGAAGCTTCAAGGTTGAAAAAGCTACTGGCCACTTAAGTCTCTGCCTAGGAATGTATCCAGCAGTTCTAAGGAGACTATATATCAGAGCCAGCATGTAAGAAGTTTGCCTCCTTAGACAATATTAACCTTTGCTTTATTATTAAACAACATTATTTCATAATATTTTAAGGTATTAACTTTTATTTTATTTTGAAAAATTTTAAGCATATCAGAACTGAAACAATTTTATAGTAATGTCTATATATCTATCACCACTAACAATTTACTATACCTGGTTTTTTTTCAATCATCAAGTTAACGTACTTATTTTATGTATTTCAAACTAAGTTGCAGATATCACTTTTCTTCGTCTAAGTATCTCAGCAGGTATATCATCAGCCTTTCAATTTTTTTTTCTTCTTTTTAGGTAAAGCTTACATACTATGCATACATAAATCTTCCGAAGACCTTTGCTGAACTTTGACAAATGTGTAACCCAAACCCCTATTAAGGTACAGAATATTACCAACAGCCACAAAGCTCCCTCCTTCCCGTTCCCAGTTATACCTTCACTTTTGAGACTGGTACATGGAAGCTCCTACGGAAAAAAGGAGAAGAAACTTTATAAATAATATAACTATAATGTAATGCTAAATATAATATGTTGTTGCACATCCCAAATTTCCCTTTACTTTTCTAGCAGTCACTTATTCATGGAACTGAAGTTAGCCTAGTCCTTATAGTAATATGCTTTACTCACAAGATAGTCTCAGGTTCACTGACTTTTTGTGCAAATGTAAATCTAGTAATTGTGGTGGTCTGGTCTCCAAACACATAGCAGGTTAGGGATTATAAAATGTGAATAGAAAGGAGTTCTGGTGGCCTAGAGGCAAGAAGCTACACTGCAATTCCAAAGGTGTGCAGTTTGAATCCACCTGATGCTCTGCTGGAGAAGGAGGGGCAATCACCTCCAGTACCAGTCAGATTTGATTTGACGGTACATGCACAAAAATTAATAAAGTAAAAATAAAATAAAAAAAAAAAGGTGAATAGAAAGAGAGGTTGGTAGAAGTATGTAGGAATCTGAAAGGAAAAAGCAGCAACTGCCTGACAAGGATATACACAGAAAGAGTTCTTTAAAGCGGATGTAAGAACTGAAAATATGTAGTGATCTGGTAACATTTAACACAGGAGTAAGGAGTTTCACACATTCAAGAACCTCCGACATTGCTGAACCAGAGCAAAATCGTATGTGCAAGAGGTCCTAACATTCCATCACATGTCATTCTGCGGAGGCATGATCCTGACTAACAACGTGCGGAACGAATGGCATGCGGGAACATTCTGACTTGGGATAAAGTGCTCCTGATATGTCTTTTGTGACCCAGCAGCTGGTTATTCAGGATTCTCCATCTGAGTTTGGCTTTGGTATCACCTACAAGTTGCTACAGACTCAGAAACTAGTAAAATGACAGACACTGCTTTTTAGAGAGAACTATCCTGCCCCACTTCAGATAAAACCAGATACTAAAGTTGACAACAGAAGTGAAAATGTCTAAGAAAGTAGAGCTTCTTGGCCAAAGAATATGTTTTAGATGAATCAAAAGTTCCTCACAGGGGGAAAAAAAAGTTCCTTAGAGGAGAATACGGCGAAGTTTTGATAGGACATTGTAAATAATAACATTATATGATTGTCTTTTCTGTTGTCTTGTTATAAATCAAACCTTATGAGTGACTGAAAGAAAACCACTTTAAAGACAAAAAACTATGTTTTATGAGTTTCCACTCAAATCACAATGTTATTGTTGTTGTTATGTGCCGGCGAATCGCTTGCGACTCAATAGAAAAAAATTCCTTACGCATTTGCTACAGCTATAAAGCAAAAGTGACTCAAGAAATGGAGTGAATGGGTCAATAAAAACTCTATCTACAATGCTAGGAAATACAGAACTCTCAAATCCAACATGGACATAAATTATCAATTAAAAATGAAATAAGATATTCTCTGTCGAAGAGGTAATATAGCAAAAACGTTTCTCAGATTTCTACCAAAATTGTCAAGGGGGGAAAAAAAAAACCCAAACCAAACAACCAACCCAAAACTCTCAAGCTTTAAGAAGTAAATTTTATCTAACAAAGACTGGGGAAAAAAAATCATTTTATCTGGAAAACTCACTTTTGTAGAAAATCCCATTCCATAATAAAAGTATTTGGCAAAACCCCCTACTCAAGAAAAATTGGTTTAGCAACAAAGTGATGATTATTAGCTTTTTGAAGAAATTTCTTACTTTGTCAAAAGATCAGTAATAGGTAAAATAATAGAAGTTATTCTTTCTTCTTTTAAAAAAGACAGTCCTTCTTGGTAAAAATTTCCATTTCCAGTAAACTCCTTCAGTAATTTTAGAATATAACTTCACTTGCAAAGATTCAATTTGCACATAAGCGTCTCTTTGCTTTCTTTTTTTATTGTGTACCATCAAATCAGATCCGACTGACACAGGAGATTGCCCCTCCTTCTCAAACAGAGTATCTGGTGGATTTGAACTGCGTGCCTTCATGACATAAGTGTTTCAGACCCCTGCTCAGGGGTCTGGTCTACCGCTTGAGGGAGTAAGGACAAAGGGTGAATGAGAAACAAGGAAGCACTGAGATGAAGAAAAGGATTTTTTAAGACAAAGAAACAAATTGACAGCAGCCATTTCTGTCTTACAGATCTCACCGTTACTGGGTTAAAAAGACATATCAAGAGCACCTCTGCATGCTAATAAACTTGTGATTACTAAATCATAGTCTTTAATCTGGCATTTATGAAGCATAAAGCAGTCTTGTAATTGACATTCAGACACCTCTATGTACACTGTGGTTTCTTTTTTTACAAATACACACATTCTCACTCAATTTTGGTCACACATAAATTGTACTAGTTTTATATTTTTCTCCCTTCTACTCTGAAGCTTACCTATAAATTAGCTCCCAACTTATGACTATGCAAGTCAGTTGCTGCCCTGACCTTGGTCTGTATTTTCGTGGATGTAACCACTGTATGTGACCAAGTTGCTAGGCAAAGAATATCTGAAGTCATGACACAAGCCCCTGAAGAGCCTGCCTGGTATACTACCTGCAAGGACCTCCTTATCTCCCAGATACATATATACTTAAAGGGGGCTTCTTCCTGCTCCTTGTGTGTCATAATTTCCTTTTATCCCAGAACAAAAGAAAGGCTTTTAAGGTATAGTTAGAAAAGCTGAAGTAAACATTAGCATACACTAATACTTCTTAGCTTTGTATTCACATAATTTCTTTTCCTGCTAATGATTTTATCAAATTTTCACAAAGAGAAGCAACTCCTCAAAATCCCACTTCTACACTGGCCTATGCTCTACCGGGACAGGTATTGACAGGGAAGGAAATGATGGGAAGTTGGTCAGGTAGATCAACAGTCAGCATGCTCCATAAAGTGGATCGCCCAAGCACTTTCACAGGAAGGCTTCCTGCCTCTTCTGGCTAAAGACTGAGGAAGGGGCAGTAGCTGTATTGCCTCCAATTACTCTCTGAGGTTTGCAGACCACACCCCACAAAACCTGACCTACAACTGGCCCAAAGTAGGATCAGTGTTCACCAGCTGGACTGAATGTGTCATATATAGTTTGACAATAATAAAAGTGAGGTCATTGTTTTTTAAAAAATCATTCAGTGGAAAACTATATGAACCATTCTACAAAAGGAATTAATTCCTCCTCCCCATAATCACCAATTTAAAAGGCACAGGCAGTGGCAACAGCGCCACTGTTGAGGATTTACCTTTGTTCTGAAAGAACATCTACAGGAAATAACTGACGTGCGAGAACATGGTCCACAGTCTCCTTCATGGCAGAGTTTTTCACAGGTATGAATGAAATCTTTAATAAAAATGAAAAGAATTGAGAATGAAAATAACAACTATTCATTTTCAGACTCCCACATTTATTAAGTCATATTCATTATTCACCTCAGCTCCCTACAACTCAAGAATCAGATGAGGGAAGATGGAGTATCCCCCTGACCTTATGAAAAATCATCTTAGTCTACAAGTCTTCAGGTTAGAGTTGAGTCTCTTAAAAAAATTGTGGCTCTAGATGAATTTACAGAAATTCTCTTATTTGGAGATTAACAACAATAATGCAAAGCCATGATCCATAACTTCAGTCTATGCAGTAATTCCTGTTACCATTCCAGAAGTCAAACTCCATCTGTAGTCTCTTTTACCAAAGCTCTATCTCCAGGATGGAAATTTCCTACCAAGAAAGACGCTACAAAACCTAAACGAATCTATAGATAAACGAGGCCTGAACAATGCTGAGTCATTGCTAGCATTAGTCAGAGTCTTGAGTTTCTCAATTTGGTTCCTTAAGCTGGTTTCAGCTTGGTTCCTTAAAATTTTCCATGTTTAAAAAGCTGCTGAGGTAGAAAGGTCAGCCTGTGATCCTTTAAACTAGCCTGTTCATACTAATAGTTCCTACCTTCCTCGTGCTCAATCCCTTTGTATTCCCGTTTCATATTTCCTTTTCTTTTTCATTGCTAACAAGATACTTCAGCCTCTGAGGAGGATGTCTAGTCAGTATAGACCAAGTTCTTATAAAATGGACTAAGTGCTTTCTGAAAAGAGAAGACCTTTGCTATATGTGTTGGTTTAGAAGAGCGTGAGGAGTTCCATCTCTGGCCTGGTCTGCAGGGACTTGTGCTGCTAACCCAAAGGCAGCATGCCTCTGCCAGTCTGCGGATTCCACCAACTGCTCGTCAGGAGGGATGGGCAATCTTCTCTCCTGCAATTTATAGCCTCTGAAAAGCCACTGGAGGGTCAGCTATGAGTCAGTTCTGACTGGACAGCAATGAGACTGATACAGCAGGCACAGAGAACTAATGGGTAATAAGTTTTCTTTCTTTTTTTTAAGTTGATTTATTTTTTTTAAAATATTATTTTATTGTTTTGTGTGTGTGTACCATCAAATCAGATCTGACTGTTACAGGAGGAGATTGTCCCTCCTCCTCCAGCAGAGCAACTGATGGATTCATATCACGTTGTCTCTGGGATTGCAGTGCAGCTTCTTTCCACTAGGCTACCAGACCTCCCTGTAATAGGTTTTCTGAATACAGCTAGAACATGAATGAAAATAAGGAAAGGGAAAAAAAAGGAATTTTTTTGCCTAAGCAAATTTGACCAAGTTTAGATAAGCCTCTGATACTGTATTGCTATATAATGCTAAGCAACCATTACTGCCAAAGACTGACATCAGTACTCGTAAAGCTAACTTTTTTTCCCCCGTAAAGCTAACTTTAGGCCAACAGTTACCTGAGGAACCACAGGGCAGTGGCTTGCCACACACTTTTCCACATGAGGGAACAGGATCCATGCATGTTTTCCGGCTACTACTTCCAAGTTCTAGCAATTGGCTGAGAGAAGTCTGGCCACAAGGGCAACAGCGCACCAGCTGGGGGAGCCGTGGGCATGGCTGGCAGGGCTGAGGGTGGCACACTTGAGAACACATATGGTTCCCACATTTCAAGTCCCTGTGAAGAAAAACAACAGACTATTACATAATTAATTATTGCATAAAATGCAGATTTAGTCTGAGAGAAAAGGTAAAACCTTACTTGCCACATATTTTTAAACAGGCAAAGTCCCCAAATCCATCAGACTTTCCTACATCTGTTCCACATAACACGTCTCGGGAGGTGGTGCCACAGTAGCATACTTGAGAGACAATTTCAGAAACAAAACATTAGTAACCTGTGTGGATTCTTCAAATAGTCAAATATAACACATCTTTAAAGAAACAAAATGTAATCACATTACATTAAAGGGGTGCTAAAAATTGAATGCAGAAATGAATGTGTTTATAATAGAGCTTGACCTAAGAGCTATCTAAGAGCTTTAATATAGGAAGCAACAGGAAAGGTCTTCTTAGACTATTTCTATCTCTAGAACTTCAACAGTATATCCTAAGAACAGCATTGTTGTTGTGTGTCATGAAGTCTGAACTGACTTATCGCTGACCCTCCAGAGGGATTTCAGAAGCAGCAAATCACATGGGAGTTGACTGTTTATCCATCTCCCATGGAGCAGCTGGTGGATTCGAACCATGTGCCTTTGGGATTGCAGTGTAGTTTCTTATCACTAGTCCAATCAATCATCCAAGTTAAAGAGAATATCCTGTTTCATAAAGCCATGGCTTTCAATGTGGATCTTGAAGTCTCTGGGATTCTCACTAGTTGGAGGTTAATGTGGTAGTGGCACCTGGGGGTTGATACCTGGTTGCCTCCACCCTCACTTCAACCCAAATAACATATATTTTATGCTTTAAATATGTAGGCTCACATAAAATGCTTGGAAAAAGTTCCTGCTGTTAAAAGAAATGCCAACAAATGGCATAACAATGGAAAGACCTTAATAATCTCTACTCTACTACTGCTGAAAGTAACCATGCTTGAGTATTGACACTGAGTAAAATATTTCAAATGACTTGTGATGTTTATTTACTAGTTAGACAAAAGCTGTAGCTCAGAAGATAAAGAGGTGCGCTGCCAACCCAAAGGCAGGTGAATGCACAGGTTACTCCACAGGAGAAAGATGGGCCATCTCTTCCTGTGCAATTTATAACTTCTGAAAACTCGCTGGAGGGTCAGACATGAGTCCATTTCAATTCAATGGAACACAACAACAAAAACAACAACAGCAGGGAGCTCTGGTGGTCTACTGCCAAGAAGCTGCATTTCAGTCCTAAAGGCGTGGTTCAAATCCACCAGATGCTCTGCTAGAGAAGATGGGGCAATCTCATCCTGCATCAGTTGGATTCGACTAGATGGTACACAACAAGAAAACAAACCAAAACAGTAACAGTATCTATACTTACCTTGATTTAACAAATAAATAGATTGTTTTCTGAGATCAGCAATAAATGTCACATTTTTAAGGAGTCATGTTTCTGATGTATTAATATGTAACAAGTTTCTGATAAGGATTTCATCAATTTACACAATGTTTCCAAAAAGTGTTATATTACAAGTTCAGTTTACAATGAAATTTTGTCTCATTCAAACTGACCTATGCAGATACACTTCGCCCTACAGAATAAATGGAGGGAGCCTGGTTTACTGAAAAGTCAGGAGTTTGCTACGCTACAACAGAAAAGTGCTAGTGATCTGCTACTGTACAGAAGTTAGCCTAGAAAACTATGAGGCTGTCCTACTCTGACACATGGGTCACTAGCGATTGGGATTGACTTGATGGCACAAAGTAACAACAAAAACGGAGAAATATAAACCAGGAATGGTAAAAATGAAAGTACTTCTTTCTCATATAGATTGCTACTTTCACAGAAAATGGGTCTCAGAAATATAAAAACACAGAAAATCTTAAAACCACATAACTAAGAAAAAAAAGGTAGAATGCTTTTAACAAAACATTAGAAATAAAGCTCATGACATAAAATACACTGAACAGAAATAAAATATTTCACTGGGACATGGAAAAGTAAAGTCTCAAATTACTGACAATGTGATCAAGACTTTTAAAAATATACATTTCATCATCTGATAAGTATATACACAGCTTCACCCCCTGATCTTACTGGATGAATTAACATAGAGTTAGGGGATAAAATCAGTATTTCTGGAATCAAAGAATTGGTAAACAAACTCTAGCAATGGGAAGTTTCTTTACAAAAAAACTTTGCTAAGTTTTTCCTCCAACATCACAGAGCCTTTGTTCAAAGATACTTAAAAGACAGCTGAAAACAGAAGAGATCAGGAAAGTCTGAGTGTAAAAACAAAACAGTAGCCTAACCAGTCAAGGAGCGATCCAAGTACAATACAACAAAGTTCAGTTATGCTTGGGCAGAAGAAACAGAAAATATGAGCTAGATGGCAGGGGAGTCAAGTAGAGGCCCAAATGGCTGAAGAGTATTAAGGAACCAAATCAGTCTTAACCCATTCAGCACATGAGGATCCAGAAAGTATGCTTATTAAAACTGTAGATAATGCTTCATAGACCCTAAAGGACTTTTAATTTGATAAGATAAACAGATTGTATAGGGCCAGAACATTTTGCTAGATCTATAAGGTTGGCAAATGAAATATTGCAACTCAGCTTGAAAAATCAACTATACAAAAACAAGAAAGAAGATACCAGGCATTAAAGGATCTATGTAAAAGACAGGGTGATTTAGCTGTGTGAAAGCACAATAGGACCACAAGCTAAAAATAGCTCAGATCAAGGAACTCTTCCATTCCATAGTCTACACTCCAAGGACCTTAAAGGCAATATATAGTTAACTCCTGTCTTATTTCAAAATCCTTATGGTGCAAAATAGAGGGATACATGAAATATAGTAAGAAAACAAAGTAAAAGGCATGGAAAGGAAACACTACGGTAGGGATATAAAATGCTAAAAAATATACTCCGTTATATAGCAACAACAACATCATACAGGATTCCAGTGAGAAAAAGAAATTAATGGTATTTGAGAAAAATCAGAAATTTCTCCCAAGAGGACCTATATGGGGAAAACTCTAAAGTATGGCACAGTTACACATACAAAATCCTTAGAATCCTTAGACTAGACTATAAAACCTTTTATAGAGATGTTTCTTATTTTAAGTGCCAACACAGATCAACAACTTGACACCAAACTGAAATGTCATAAAACTCTACAGGGCAATAAGAGGTACTCTGGTGGCTTAGTGATAAGGAGCTGCGCTGTCAACCCAAAGGCACACGGTTCAAATCCATTAGCAGCTCTGCAGGAGACAGATGGGCAATCTCCTCAGTCAGTGATTTACTGACTGAAAATCCACTCGAGGGTCAGCTATCAGTCAGTTCTGACTTGACAGTACCTAACAACAAGAGGGCACCAGTATATTGTGGCTGAGAAGCCAGGCTAATACGAGACAGCTGTGAAAGCAGAAGGAAGGACATAGGGTGAAGAATACATGGATTGTTGATGCTGTATTCTTTGCACCAGCTGAGATTCTGAGAACGACGGTGTGGCATAGGTTTATGAAAGATTACATGCTTGACAACAGTAACTGGATATATAAACTTAAACTGTATTTAGCAAAATAACACTTTTTGTTAAATACAGATCTGTATGACAGTCAACTAGGCATATAAGTTGACATTATCTTGAGGTGTCTATATCAAAGACAGGAGCTTGAATAGAATATTTCACTTTACCCAGAAATTAAATTTGTTTCAGCAGTATTTGCAGATTTTCCTTCTCCACTGAATTACTTTTTTAAATCACTTGACTATAAACACAGAGTCTATTTGTGCAATCTTTTCTCTTTGCTCTATGAACGATCTCTGAAGAGTTAATGGCAATGAGGAGTCTGCTGTACCAGGAAATATTCCAGGAATGCCTGAGGCCCTTGAACACAAGGGGCCCTTAGGAAGATCAAGGCGGAATGTGGCTCTGATCTAGTCCCGGGAATTGCTCTGTGTCAGCACTCTTTTGAGCCATTTACCCCTAAAGGGTTAAGCACTCTGAGAAAAGTACTGAAGGTGATGGAATGTTTCCACGCACAGCCCCTGAAACCCTTTGAATCAACAGTAAAGACCAGACTTACTTAACCAATGCATTCTTGAGTCAAAATACAGTGAGAAAAAAAATACAGTGAAAAAACACAGAGTCTTGGGTTTGGGTAGTCAAACAGAACTTGCGTCAGCCAAAATATTTTCTGTATCCTGAAAAATATGTACATGCACATCTGCACATGCCTTTTTCCTGTGCTATTTTGAATAACTGTAGTTTTACAATAAATATGAGGTTCTGCTGCAAATGTATGCTATATGCCTAATAGAGCTGTAGCCCTTGCTACTCAATCATCTCTCATGAGTCCTCTGTGACCCACGAACCCAGAACACCGGAACCTACAGCTCTATTAGTCTACCTTTAGACCACTAACCACAGTCATAATTACTATAGCTTTATAGGTTTTGAAATCAGGTTGTTTGCCTTTCAACTTTGTTCTTTTGCAAGATTACTTCAATCTTCCTAGGGCCTTTGCAAAACCAATAAAAATTTTTTATCTATTTTCCAAATTATATATAACCATAACTTAGACTGTTTCTGTGTGATTAAAATGATTACTGTATCTCTAGTTTTAAGCTTTGCTACATCCCTAGTTTCCCTTATATAAAATGTTACAATTAAAATCTTATATGACTGTATGTTTGAGATCCTTCACATGCATCAAGAAAACTGAAAACAAGGTTCCAGAAAAGAATACAGGTGCTGTTGGCTGGCGTCTACATACTTACCCTGGTTCAATATGACCCGGCAAGGCTGGCATTGACCCCCATGGCACAGTTCAGCACAGTGGTGCTGACCACAGTTCAAAACATTACCACATGGGTTAGAGCAGTGAACTGAGACTGCCTGACCACAGCGAACTGTATGCCTGTAAATAAAGTAGATGAATCTCTTAACTTAAAAGGTCCAGTCTGATAAATAAACAGTTAAGCTCAAAACCAACTAAAGCTTTCTTGACTTCATTTTCCCACTTTTTCTCTTTCTTGACTCTAATTCTTATTTTCTCCATTACTCTTCCATTCCCCAATTCCTTTTCCCCAGCTGTGCTTTCCTTATTTTCCATTCTGCCTCCAACTCCCTTATTTTCTGAGCAGTAAAGAATTAAACAGCAGCCCTGAGTATTTACGTGAATTTTCACATACAGAAAGGAAAGAGTGCTGGAGTGAGGGAGGGTCAGAAGATTTGGGTTCAAAAGCTCTGTCTTGAGCTCAACAGTGTCCAACAGGTTGGTAGTGGCTGTGATGGACACACTCAGCCTGAAAGCACAATGCCATCTTCCTGGGCCCAGCACGCTGGTGGCTGTGCAGCTCTAATACTTAGAACAAACTGTCTATGACTTTAACTCAAGCATGGAGAGATCATTCTGGGTTCATGCTAGTCAAATCTCGATTTGGCTGATTTATTGGCTAGAAAAGAATGTGGGGCCAGTGCTGCTTTTAGGCAACTGTCCTCAGGTCTATTTCCACGGGAATGACTTAGAGCTCGGGGGAAATTCTCTTTCAAGAAGAGTGTAATTCTGTCTCCTAACCATACATCAACCACAAATTCTATTTTTTTAAATTATTGTTATTATTAATTTTAGTGAAAATTTACAGAGATTTTGGATTTCCATTCATTCCCCGCCCACCCCTACCCTCCAGTTTGTTCTTCTCTTTGAAAAGTAAAAGAAAAATTCTTTCATTGTTATACAATCCCTTCCCCCAAGTCCACTCCACTACGCAGCCTTCGTTCTTACAAATTCTATTTTTGAAGAGCAGTTGTCAGTATTCGGGCAATGGCTGATATTGCCATAATGACTAAGCCCAACTTGTTGCTGCTGTGGTTAGGTGCCATCCAGTCAGAAAGGTCTCACCTGCCCGTGGGTTTTCAGAGGCTGTAAACTGCACAGAGGAGACTGCCTAGCACTCTTCCATGAACAGCTGGTGGATTTGAATGACCTGCCATCGGGCTGACAGCATGCCTTACCTGTGGGCAGCATAGTACCTGGCTAGTATCTAGGAAGCTGTCAGTAACTATTACTGATGAAACATTCAGAGTTCTCTCAATCAGTCCTTTGAGGGAGACACTATTATTTCTACTTGTTAAGAAAAATGAAGCACATAGAGACCAAGTAACTTGCATAGGGTCAAGAATCAACAAGTAGCAGAGCCCACATCAAACCTCGTGTTTCTGACCCCAAGTCCCTCCACATATGTGGCCTTCTGACCACACTACTATCTTCACAAGTCCAATGAATGCTAAAGGAACACAGTGAGGTTGTCTCGTGACTGACAATCTGCATAATCCTGTCTAAACTGGCGGTTCAAAAAATCATTCCAAGATCTTATTGAAGCTCAGACGAAACCCCAGCTCTCAATGATCCTGTACTGGTGAGGCAGAACTTGTGATGAAAGAGAAAGCATCATTTACTCTTTCATCCACAATATTTACTGGTAACATCCTCACTGTCAGGTACTGTGCTACCCACAGGCAGCTAATGCCTGCCTACTGGACCTTAATAGGCCTGGGTTCAATTCCTTTCACTCAGTGGAGTAAGTGGCATTTCACCTGGAATGAAGAATCTCATTATGCATGTTGTTGGTGTTGTATATGCCATGGAGTTGAAAATGACTCACAGCTGACTCTCCAGTGGCTTTTAAGAGGCTATAAATGGTGTGGAAGGAGACTGCCCACCTCTCCCCCGTGGAACAGCTCACGGATTTGAATTGGCTGCTTTTGGGTTGGCAGTGCAACTCCTCACCCATTAGCGTTTCCTCAGGTAACTATTATTTACAGCCCACCAGTCACTCATATTTATCTTTTAAGGAGCTCTGGCAATGTAAGTGGTTACGTGTTCCCCTGCAGACCAAAGCGCTGACCATCTGAACCCTCCAGCACTATAGGAGAGTTGCTCTATAGGAAGCAGTAAGCTCTGGCAAAGGTTTACTCTTGAAAACTCTATGGGCATTTCTCTCTGTCCTCCAGGGTCATTATGAATTAGTATCCTCTGTAGGGGCAGTACACTTGGCAAAGGTTTCCTCTTGAAAACTTTATGGGCATTTCTCATATCGACTTGATAGGTGTGGCGGTGTCTTTGGTTTACTAATCTTTGGTGGCATTGTTCATAGCATGTTACACTGCTAACCAGAAAGCACAGATCTAATGGATCAAATCCTCCAGTGGCTCTGTAGGATGAGTGAGCAGTATCCTCCCATGAAGAATTATAGCCCCAGATACCCGATGGAGCGCTGGAGTGAGTTGGCACCAATCTGACAGCCATGAGACTTTTTTAAGGAGCCCTGGTGGTGCAAGTGGTTAAATGCTTGGCTGTTAATCAAATCCTTGCCAGTCTATCTGCTGGATCCTGTGTCAGACGTGGCAGTGTGCTTCTGCAGACTTACCGCCCTGAAAACCCTACAGGTCAGCTCTACTCTGCCCCACAGAGGGTCTTAAGAGTTGGAATCAGGGAGCTCTGGAGGCCTAGTGGCAAGAAGCTGCACTGCAATCCAGAGGGATTGCACCAGATGAATCCACCAGATGCTCTGCTGGAGAAGGAGGGGCAATCTCCTCCTGTACCAGTCGGATCTGATTTGATGGTACACACACAAAAAAATAATAATAATTTAAAAAAAAGAGTTGGAATCAAAAAGTGCAACAATGAATGACTGGAAACCCTAAGTCTGTAAACTTTCATTAAAATTAATTTAAAAAATATTTTTAATTGGGGAAAAAAAAAGAGTTGGAATCAACGCAATGACATACAACAACTAATCTTTTATGGGGCCCTAGTGGCAGGTAAGGAGCTCTGGTGGCTTAGTGGTAAGGAACTGCACTACCTACATAAACGTAGACAGTTCGAATTCACCAGCTGCTCCATGAAGAACGATGGGTACTCTCGCCCCATGTGCTTCACTGCCTCTGAAAACCCACTGGTGGTCCAGCTAGAGGCGAGTTCTGACTTGATGGTACACAGCAGTGGCACAGTAGGTTAAGCACTGAGATGCTATGTAAAAAAAATGAATAGCTGAAACACACAAGCTGCTACACAGGAGAAAAATTAGGTCATCTGCTCATGAAGATTTACAGTTTTGGAAGTCCTATGGGGCAGTTCTACTCTATATTATAGTTGCTCTGAGTTGGAATGGATTTGATGGCACACTCACACTACACCACTACAACTCAACAGCTCTCTTCTGACTTTACCTGGTCCGTCCACATTCACACGTTTTAGTCATAAAGGCAGGGCAAGGTGGGCAAGGTCCAGGATGGCAAAGGCTGAAAAAGGAAGGCTTCAATGAGTAAACCACATCCAAGATTCCAAACGCAAAGAAAGCCATCCCAACTGGTGGCTACTGTGCAAATGACAACAAATAAATTTGACTGAGTATTTTAGTATTTGCCTAAAGATACCAACAATGTTTCTCTACAGAAATAATTGACAGTACATTAATTGACCCTGTAAGAAAATGAATAAGGAAAAAAAAAAGTCAAATTGATGGTTTCATTTGGATCTAACCAAGAAGACATTTTTCAAATATGGTCTCAGCTGTGTGGGGATAAAAGTAACTGGCACTCAGGTGAATGGTGCTATGGCCAGTCAAGTCCTTTGGGGAAGCAAAAGCTAAGCAAAGACTGTCCATGAAAAGTACAGAAATTTCCCCATTAGCTACTTAAATATTAACCAATTGATGTGATAACAACAGGAACAGTGAAAAGAAGGCCGACATGAAAGCAGACATGCCACCAAACAACACAGGTGAAGAACAAAAGGAAATTGGGCTTGTGGAGAGAGCTGGGTTTAGATATATGTGTACTCCATAAATGGTACTACATAGCCCCTTACCCCATCCTGTAGCACATTAACTAGATACGTATACTTCGGGCCACCAACAAAACATGTCCACCAGGATCCCCAGGGGTCTAGCATTCCAACTTACAGGTTACAGGAATGAGGGCAGTCCTGGCCAGGCTGCTTCCTTCTACAGACCTCACCACAACTATGTGGAATTTCATTTCTGCTCCATTCAGGATTCTTTACTTTACCTAAAACATACCAGATCAGAGTCAATGGAATAAACTTCAACAACATTCTCAATGTGAATGAAACAGCACAGCTCAGCTAGACATTATGAAACATCAGTGTGGCTTTCATGAGTTAACATATTATCCCACACCTTAAAATAAAAGTTAAATAGAATGCTCAACAAAAGCTTCATAGAGTATATGGTAAATTTAAAGTTACAAACTTGTGAAAGATTTGTCATTTTACTCATGAAAACATTACTTTGTCTAAAAGATACATTTAACATAAGATAAGAAAAAAATCTTTAAGGTGAGCCTTCTGTGCTGTATTATTGGACTGAGAAAAGAACATCTGCTGGAAGGTCAGAAAGAGTTACCAAATGAAAGCAATGGGAAAAGAAAGAGGCAGCGGGAGTTAGGAGAGATAGAAACTCTCTGAAAAGTTCAAACTCACCTAGAAGAAAGCCAGAAAGTAGACTGCAAAAAAATAAGTGTTCAAGTAGAAGAAGGGCTGGCAAAAAGAAGTATCCTGGAAGAGGACCCTTGGGCTAAGATCATGAACGAGGATTTAAAGAAGAGAAAGAACATTCTAAATAGTAGGTGATTTCACCAAGAGATTAAATTTAGAATATAAAAGACCAACTCAATGACCAGCTCTTGGCAAAAGTTCCTACTTAACTGATGGGAAAGGAGATAGATAAGCAAATCAGACTAAGAAGGACACGCAGAGAAGATCAGGAAGGTCTGGTCAATTCAACAAGGGAATGATCACAGGTGTTAAGGGTTGTCAGACTGCCAAAAATGCAAAAAATTTATAGGTTCTTAATAAATGAGCACTGGATCTAATCAAGACGGGTTACTGATGACTTTTAAGTATAATTTCATTGAGGAATACAGAGGGTTAAGATACAAAATCTGAAAAATCAACAATCAGGAAGAGAAAGCTAGCCATTAAAAGATGGGCAGGAAGAGTGAGGAGACAAGAGCATGCAGGAAATAGGCTCATATTGGGAATGAGGATCTGGATCACAGCAAGTTTGTCCTTAACACACAGGGAAGCTGAACTACCCCAAAATAGGAAGAAATAGTAAGTACAAGGGTGGGCACAAGAAGACAATTTGTAAAGCTGGTTTATAGAAAAATCTTTCTCTCCATCATAAAGGCTAATAACTGATCTCTTGGATGAAAATAAAGTACACCTTATAATTACTCTTTCAGTGTTCAAGTCTGGAATATCAAAGATGCAAAATCAAAGGTTGAGAGACAACCCATGGACCTGCCTGTCTCTGCTTTAGCTCAGGTCTAAGCTAGGACCAAGGAGACCAGCATTACGGCTTGGAAGCAGCATGAGCTCAGCAGGCTTGAGAAGACTTATCTCCAGAACAGCCAACAGCACAAAGGCCTGTCTTTATCTGTGTAATGAGCCACAGGATGTCTTGGAACTTATGAAGACTTATTTGTAATTTCTAAAACACATCCAGCAACTACCTCTCCTGGACTGGGAGCAGAGGTACAATGTAAGAAGGGAAAGTTATACCCAAACAAACTTACCACAGAAGCAAGTATAGGTATTAGGAACATGTGTGGAAACATTCTGACAGGCAGGGCACCTCCAACCACTCTGGCCGTCTATCAAGAAAAATAGGAACAAACCAAATTAATTTTCTTTCAGAAAAGCACATATAATTTTTAAATGCAAAACTGAACCAGCGGTAATAATTTCAGTGTTCAGTATATCACAAAAGTTCAATACTGAAGATATCAATACTGAATACTTTGCTTAAATATTGCATTTGGGCTAGTATTTATAAACTTTCAGATATAGTAAGTAAAGTAGGTATGTTGTTGTTGTTGTTGATTGCCTTCAAGTTGAGCATGACTCATAGAGACCCTATGAACAAAAGGCCTGAAGTCTTTCTATAACTATTGTCATTTCTCTACGTTTCATAGTTTCCAGAGGCATGTTATTTAGCTAGTGTATGCCACTCCTGCTTCCAAAGCAGGTACAGGCTTTGTTTTATTTTTTTATTATGTCAAAGTAAATATCTTTAAGAGGGAACAGGATAAAATAATAATTGCATATAGAAAAACCGAGATATACTAAATTGGTCACCATTTAGAAAGCATACTATTATTAATATTTGCATTATCCATAAATATTAGTATAACTTGGAAAAAGTGCATAAAATAAACAAGAGGATCTGTACAAGGCAAACAATTTCAGCATCTTGAAGGTAAATGAAATAATAATTTTTTGTAGGTCTATAATTTTTAAAAAGCACACTACAGAAAACATGCTTTTTTACTTTTCAACAAATTTATCTGACTATTTGATCCTTAATATATTTCAATATTGTTATGTTTAGTGGATTTAATTATGATCTAAATATTAATGCAGGTCATTTTGTGATAAAAACAGCACAGACTCTCTGTAGATAAAATAAGTATCAAGAGGAATTAAATAGTACTTTTAAAATGACATTGAAAACCTAAACATAAAATGAGTGAGAACAGGTGCTTGGGAGCTGGAAAAGAATGACCTGCTTGTGACGCTGGAGACCGGGCCCATTTCTTGATGCAGCTCAAATGGAACACATGGTAACAGCTCTGACAACTCCACACTGGAGCTGTGACACGAACCAGCTCACAGCAGACCATACACTCATATTTTTCTGTAGTTAGTTGTTCAACAAGAGAACCTGTTAAAAAAACAAAACAGATAAACTCAGATACAGGAAGACATTTACAACTTTAGTCAACGGAGGGTCTATAAGACATCTGAGTCCAAACATAGAAATTTTAAGAATGTCTGATTCTGAATTTGAGGCCAAGAAAGGGCAGGAGTAGAAAGGGCCGAGGTAGAGAGAGGTCTCTTAGGAAGTAAACAAATAGATGGGGAGCCCCACAAGCTCTGCTCCAGAAGTTACCAGTAGCCAAATGTCCCTAATAATGCAGGTTTAGCATCCATACGGCACTGCCGGGTCTTGTCCTGCCTCCTCTTAAACCAGGAGGCTCCAAATCCACCAGATTACAGACCTGGGTTAGAGAGTACCCTGTGACGTGGCGAAGCCTTATCCTAGACAGCTTCCAAAAGACCAAGGGCAATGAAAGGGTCCAAGCAGTTGCCCTGGAGGCTTTTTATTCACTTATCAAACATAAGACTGGGACCTAACACAAACCTCAGGTTAGTGTTACCAGACTAAGAGGACAGTCTCTGACTTCGGGGGCTATCACCTAGTGAAAGAGACCAGTATAGAGTGACAGAGAAGAATCCTTGGATTTACTCCTAAAGCCTCTCACCTACTTCTAGGCTTTTCCCTCCAAGCATCAACTTAATAGTCTTTTTAGATTTAAAAGTATAATGTTGTTGTTGTTGTATACCATAGAGTCAGAACTGACCCATAGCTGACCCCCTGTAAGGTTCTCAGAGACAGATAATTGCACAGAAGGAGAGTGCCCATCCTCCGGCAGAGCAGCTGGTGGATTTAAACCGCACACCTTTGGGATTGCAGCACAGCTTCTTGCCACTAGGCCACCAGAGCTCAAAAGTATAATAATAGTTTTTTTCATTATATACACTCATTTTCTGCACTTATTTCACAATATTATTATTATGTTTTTGAGGTCCAAATAAGCTATAAAGATAAATAACTTCTAAAAATAACATGCCATGCTCCTTACATATTGTTTACTTCTCTCAACAAGACACCATTCTGTAGATGAAGAACTGAGCTTGTTTCCCCAAGATCACATAACTAGAAATTATAAGAGTCAAACTAATGGTTATCTAACTCAGAACCTTACATCTTCATCGGTCCCTTACATCTGCTCTTAAGATTCTTTCACAAAAAAAGAGCTGACTCTCATAAATGAAGAGTTCTAAAGAATAACGTGGAGATGTGAGACACAGAGAGATCTGTTAAGAACAGAATTCTCAGACAGCCCCAAAGAGTTACACCACCCTCATGTGTATATCCTATAATCCTCTCCCCTTGAGTATGAGTGGACCTGATTGAATCAGATGAGCTCTTTCAAAAGAGGGACTAGGGTGCTGAGAGATGATTTGAAGATGTCTCTGTAATTTAAACATCTCTGTGATCAAAGAAACTGCACTAAAGGCATTCTGTAGGTTCTGTAAAAGCTAAATGTCATGTTGTGGGGGAGAGCTGTATAAGGAACTATGGATGCCCCTGAGCCTGGAAGCAAAACCCCACCACCCCACCAAGAAAACAGTGACCTCTGCCCTACACGCACAGGTCAATGAATTCTAACAATCAGTGAGTTTGGAAGAGGATCGCTGAGCCTCAGATGAGATCTCATTCTGCCAGTAACCTTGATTTCAGTCCTGTGAGGCTCTGAGCAGAGACCTTCTGACCATGGAAACTGTGAGGTAACAACTTTGTGTTTACTTGAAACACTACAGAAAACTGAGACAGTGAAACCTGTGAGAGCTGGAACCAACTGTTTTCCCACTTCTAATGTGTCCTGCTTTTGTGTGCAGATCTACTCTTTTTCTTACTGGTTTTAATAGAATGTATTTTAGTTTTCTTTCTCTCACAGGTTCCTGCATTTCACTGGTTCTAGCTTTCTCAGGTTATACTGTCCACAATGAACCAACTTTTAAGGATTGAATGGAGGAGCACTGGTAACACACTGGTTACGCACTGGCTTGCTAAGCAAAAGGTCAGTGGTTCAAAACGAATAGCTACTCGGCTAGTAGCCAGAGCATCAAGCAGCGAAATCCCTTGGGACAGCGCATCTTCTGGGCAATTATGAATTTGGAACAAGTGTCTAACGAGAAGTTGAACCTGTGCCGGAAGTACTACCTTGGTGGGTCTGCCTTCCTGCCTTTCCTCTGGTTAGTCAACATCTTCTGGTTCTTCCAAGAGGCCTTCATTATGCCGGCTTACATGGAGCAGAGCTAAATCAAGGGCTATGTCTGGCGCTCAGCTGTGGGCTTCCTCTTCTGGGTAATTGTGCTCACCACCTGGATCACCATCTTCCAGATCTACTGGCCCCACTGGGGTGCCCTTGGGAACTACCTCTCCTTCACCATCCCTCTGGGTACCTACCCCCTGACACCTTCTGTACAGGTTCATTTTCCCAGGATGGGTTCTTCTGCTCTAGTCTCGCTCTTGAGCCCACTAAGAATTATTCCCATTTTTCCCACCATATCTGCTGATACTTCCCAATAAAAACCATGATTCTAAAAAAAACAAAACAAACACCAACAAAAAACAAAAACTAATAGCTACTTAATGAGCAAAAGATGTGGCAATCTGCTTCTCTTAAGATTAGAGCCTTGAAAACTCTCTGGGCAGCTCTACTCTTGCCTTGGAGAGCTGCTATGGGATGGAGTTGACCGGATAGTAACAGGACAGGAAATTCCAGTGAAGGAGGGTCTGAGTATTGCCCCATCTTGTAGTTGAGCAGCAGGCTCAGGTTTAGAGTCTTGGAAATGCTAAGGGAGGCTCTACTCTGTTATACAGGGTCACTATGAGCTGGAACTGACTGGCTAGTAATGGGTTATAGGTTTTTTAAGGATTGAAAAAAAAAAAAAGATAAATATTGCTTTGGTTCATTCACAAGTTGAATTCTCCAAAAAAGAAAGGCCTAGTGAGGCAAGTGACCAGAAGAACAATCTCAACTCATTGCCATTGAGTTGGGACTGATTCATAACAGACACTGCAGTGGGTAAATCACACAAGAGACTGCCCACTTTCCACCAAGGCACAGGTGGCAGATTCAAACCACCTGTCTGGGTTGGCGGTGCAACTTCTTCTTTTTTTTTTATTGTACAGGAGGAGATTGTCCCTCCTTCCTCGACAGAGCATCTGGTGGATTCGAACTGTGCGCCTCTGGCATTGCAGTGCAACTTCTTGCCACTAGGCCACCAGAGCTCCCCTGGCGGTGCAACTTCTTATCCACATCCTCAGAGCTTTCTGCATGAGCTATAGCTAATGTAAAATCAAGCCCTGGGGAGGTGGTGGCTTCACATGTTAAGCTGACTCGTAATAAATTGGAGGGAGACAAAGAGAGTAAAAGTATAGGTAGATATGGTAGAATCATGTTCAATCTAGATACGAGGGATGTCTTCAAATACTTCAAAGGGCTGCTCTGCATTGACTGTAAAATGAGTTGGGGGCGGGAGGAAGCTGAGAAGAATAAGACCGGTCACAGTATCACTCCAGAAGACAGAACTTGAACTAAGGGATAAAAATTATTATAGGAACGAAGTTTTCAGTCCAACATAAGGAAGAGCTTCCCAACAGCCAAAGACAAGCGCCTCTCCCTTCCGAGAGCTGTGTTAGGCACTATGATTATGTGCTGTCAAGCTGACTACAACTCATAGCAAACCTGTGAACAATAGCTCTGAACCCTGCTCTACCTGGAGTCAATCTTACTCTCTCTGACACACCTGCCCCCACTGTCACAGCCTCTGCCCTTAAGGAGCTCCCAGATTAGTGGGTATACTGACATGTAAACCTAGTATGGCCTCCAGTGATCTGTGACACCACATTGTAGTTGTCAGGCGCCTTAGAGTACAACTCACAGCAACCCTATGAACAACGGATCTGAATCCTGCCCTGTCCTATGCCATCCTCACAATCTCTGATATCCTTGAGCCCACTGTGTCAATCCACTTCACTGAGGGTCTTCGTTTCTTTCGCTGACACTGCACCATTCCAAAAGCATGATGTCTTTTTCTAAGCGCTGGCCCCTCCTGTTACGGTTGTTGTTGTTGTGTACCAAAGTCGGAACTGACCCATAGCTGACCCTGTGTGGGTTTTCAGAGGCAGTTAATTAATTGCATGGGAGGAGGTTGTCCATCCTTCTCCTGCAGAGCAGCTGGTGGCCTCAAACCACATGCCTTCTGGATTGTAGCTTCTTGCCAAATGGTCACCAGACAACAACATGCAAATGTAAGGGAAGGACATATCACAGGGTTAAAAGATTAACACTACCTGAGTGACCTGAATACTCAAACCAAACCAGTTTTTGAAAAGTAAACACCAATGTTCTGAGCAGTAGACAAAGGAGTCACATATTCAACAGCATGGAAAAAGGAAATAGCATGAAATCCTGGGAGTAAAATGTGGTGGAGCTGAGGCATCAAAAAATGAGAACTGCTGAGGAAGGCTGACTCCAGAATCTCTGGTGAGGCAAAGCCAGTCAACAGTGGTCAAGCAGGGGAGGGGCACAGTTCAATACACACTTAAGCACATCTGACCACTGCTGTAAGAGATGAAAGGAAGAAACTGAGGATGGCAAGATTAGGCAGGGCTGTCACAACTGAGGAAATAAGAGACGATGTACGGTAGACCCAGCAGTGATAGGAGTGATGTTACCATACCCTACTTGTGTTTTCATACCTAAAAAAAATCTTAGAATCAGACATCTATACTATCCATTTCCACATTAAAATCAAAACCAAAAAAGTCTCACAAAAGTATCTCTGTTTTTTTATATAGAAAATGAAGTAGTGGATACCTACTGGGAAAGGAAGCTGAGGAGCGAGTGGCAGCAGAATGCAGGCAGATGCAGAATGAGGACAGAAAACTTCACTGTGCATTTTGACACATGCTAGTTTCTCAGCTGTGTCAATATATTTTCTACCAAAATCTGAAAATTTAAAAGAAAAAAAAATCCTCCACCCATCTAGGTGTGCTTACCTGTATGCGTTTCTACATTTTTTAGCACATGGTTCTGTTTGCTGCGGGAGAAAGGAGGTGCTCCCTGGGGATCCTGCCTCCTCACAGAACATTTCTCTGGGTCAATTCTCCTGGAAGACTTGCTAATGACTGCCATATTTCCATTGTCGCAGGTAGATTTTGCTGGTCTTTCAATGAGATTATCCTTTGGAATAGGGGCCATGTTGTTTCTGGGTCCTGCATTTGTATGTCTCTGGCCCTCCTGTTTTGGTGGATTCCTGCCCGGCCGAGGCCTGGCGCCTTCTACCTCCCAAGGAGGTCTTTTCTGTGGGTGTCGTCTCTGCTCATTGCGTCTGGCCCCACACCCATCCAGTACTCCTTTTCTGAAGGATGCATCCAGAGGGTCAGGGTGGATAACTCCTGAAGGTTTGGTATTTTCAGGTTTGATGTCCTCAGGTTTCAAAGACGCCTTGTTACCCCATTCGCATTTGAATTTCCCCTTGACTTTTGGTCCTCTACCATAAGTGCATATAAATGGAGTTGCCTTTTTGGGTTTTGCTCCCCTGGGATCTGCACTAACAGTGTCCTTTTCACTCTCAGAAGGGCTATGCTCGGTGGGGTTAGTCCCGCTCTCTGACTTGGCCACACTTTCTAAGCTAACTGTATCTGACGTCTGATCAGGAAGACCTTGCACCTTCTTGACTCTGGTCTGGTGCTTTTCATTCTTTAATTTCTGCCAAGGTTGGCTCTGAAGGCCAGGGCTCCTGGGTGACTTATTAGAAGCAGAAAACTGCAGAGAAGACTGTTGACTCTTAGGTTTGCTTCCTGATGGATGGTAACCGTGCTGACGAACGGCAGAGGTGTCATCATAAGGGAATTGCCTGGAAGGGTGACAGGGAGGTGGTAAGCCGTAATTTCTTCTACCAATCCGATTAGAGTCCAGTTTCCTTTGAGTCACACAATTTAGACCAGAATTTTTTCTCTCCTGGGGAATGAACTCAGCAGCATCTGTATTGAACTTAAAAGTACCTAGGAAAAAAAGAAATAGACAAAGTTAATAGTAAAGAAGTTAATTTGTTACCGTGAAGTCCAGAAGACTCTGAGCCTTACATAGAAGAGCTCTTTTCCTGAAGACTTTGTATAAAGCAGGCTCTTAATGAGTCATGTGTTGTGTGAAAGTGATGAGTTCAAGGTGTTTGTGGAAGACTGGTCATCAATAGCCACTGACTGCTGAGAGTAGCTAAGAAAATATGCTCACCTGCAGCTGTTTATATGTGCATTTAGTTTTAGTGTTGTTGACTGCTGTTAAGTTGAACACAACTCATAGCGATCGTAGGAACAAAAGACCAGAAGCCTTTCGATAACTACCGTTTCTCAAAGTTCATAGAGCTTCCAGAGGCATGTAGTTTAGAAAGTGGATGCCATCCTGCTTCCAAACCTGTCTTAAACTGAGCTCCACCAAACACTGTCCACCATGGGTAACCATTATGCCACTTAAAACCCAATGGCACAAGGTTCAGTATCGGAGCAAGGCCAGCAATCAGTTCAGCAGTGAGGTGGGCTTTCAAAACTCTACAGTTCCACTACGTAGTATTACATACTTTTTGTCTGGAGTCAAACAAAATGGGTTTCAAGTCTGCCATCTACTTGAGAAGCACAGACTCAGGAGACATCGCAATCATCTGCCATAACATAGTCCACAAAGACAACGTTCTACATCATACTTTGGAAGCAGTGACTGAGCGCTTAAAAACACACAATTACCATTCTTCAA